TGGCCAGCTCAGTCCTAGCATATAAAATCCGAGTCGGAACATGCCCCGACATGCATTCAGCGACAGGCGCTCCTACCCTAAGGAACAGGAAGAAACAATCAAGCGGTTCACTCTGGACCTGAAGCCTCCTCTCACCGGCCATCCATTATCAGCGCCCACCGATTTCTTCAATACCGAACACCAGGGGTTTTATTCGCCGAAACTACAGTCCACTACAATCAAGACTCCTGCGTGTAACTTCCTCCACCCCCTCAGTACGAGTCGGTAACTGTCCGCTACTGCGACAGCCCGGCGTCCCGTACATAGTTCTTACGGGTTAATGCACGAAACTTTATTTATTTATTGACGTTTCGTAGCCTTTACAGGCTTCGTCGTCAGAATAAAAACCTGACGAAGCCTGTAAAGGCTACGAAACGTCAATAAATAAATAAAGTTTCGTGCATTAACCCGTAAAAACTAGTTTTATTTAATGAGTGATGTGCGTGAAAACCTAAGAAACAAATCTGTTCATTGAATTACAAAGGACAATGTTAAAATTGGTCTAAGAACCAACACCAATTTGACATTTATGATAATTCTTAGTATATTTTTTGCGATAATTATCAGTATTTAGATTGTGACGGACACTTCCAGTTAAGTAAGCTAAATTAAAAAGTTAAAAAATAATCTGAGACAATAAGTACCATTTTATGTGTATAATCTATGGCAGCGCTGCAAACAAAAACTAAAAAATACTCTTTCTTCCTAATGCCGGCACTTCACTTGGCTATTCGTATTTGCTATTTTAAAACATGACATGAGTCTGTCGCTTTCATTCCTTATTAAGCATGACAAGGACAAACTGTTGTCAAGCGAAGGGCCGGCATAAAACTCGTTACTCTGTGGTTGTGGTGCATGCAGTTTGCATTCGTAGTAATCTGTGGCATTCCAAAGAGTAGTATATTATACCGGAAAGTGCATTCTCGTTTCGGACTACCTGTTCTGTGTGTTTATTTGCGATTGTTTTTCCTTTAACTTAACTATTTCGGCTTTCTAATATGCCATCGATGTTACCAAAGAGCAGAGCCCTTATTACCAAGTGCTAGTGAACCTGTGCCACAACATCCTGAGAGGATCATTCTGCCAAATTATTCATTCACTTCATACTAAATTCATAGGTTGACCTATGTTTCATTGAATATTAAACATAACCACAAAAAAATTTAGTTTTCCTAATAATTTAAGTTCTCAGAAGTGTCCGTCAACAATCTTTGTTTTTACAGTCATTTACTTACGATTTTGAACCTAGAAAATAATATTTCATGATTGTTGGTTCTTAGGCTAACTATGTATGGACGCTGAACAATGTCCTTTATGGCATTCGAGTGATATGAACAAAACACGGCGTAACTAGTTTAGACTTATTCCTCGTTGAAAGAAAATTTTACTAGAAAAACTTCGACGCGGACCAGGCAGCAGATGGGACTCGAACCCGCACCCTTCGCTATCCGGGTGAATACCAACTGACCAATATTCGAGTTCCATCTGCTGCCTGGCTCGCGTGGATCTTTTTCCAGTTAAATTTTCTTTAGATTTAAACATCTAGCAGTTCATCATCATCATTATCATCCTATTAATGTACCCACTGCTGGGGCACAGGCCTTCCCTATGGATGGAATAGGGAGATTGGGCCATGACCCACCACGCAGGCCCAGTGCGGATTGGTGGGTGCTAACGACTGCAGATGCAGCCGGGACCAACGGCTTAACGTGCCTTTCAAAGCACGGCATCTTGCAGTTACTTGCTTAAAAAAAACAAATATAATAATTTCTCGTTTATTAATAAGGGGAATAAAGTTTAAAAAACAAAAACCCAATGATCGCCCCCTAATCTTTCAAGTGGGTGCACAACTCATGACGTTAGTGCAGTGGGCGCGCTTTGTGGACCGCCACGGTTCATTAGAGAAAACATTATCGAATGAAAATCGTAATTCGAGCCGATCGAGTAGGACTGCCAAGCATTTTTATATGTAGGTAGTACAATATAAAGTTAAAACTTTTATGGTCACTAACATCATCTATCTATACTTATAATAAATCTGTAGAGAGGTCAATTCTGTACATGAAATATATTTTCAAAATAACTATCAGGGGGTGATTAGTGATCGATACTGATGCCAAAAATGCAATCAGTAAAATTTTTGTCTGTCTGTCTGTCTGTCTGTCTGTGTGTATGTTCCTTATAGAAACAAAAACTACTCGAAGGATTTTAACGAAACTTGGTACAATTATTCTTCATACTCCTGGGCAGGTTATAGTATACTTTTCATCACGCTACAATCAATAGCAGCAGAGTAGTGAAGGGAAATGTTGGGAAAACGGGAGAAGTTACTCCATTTTTTAAGCTTCCGTCGCGGGTGCAGCCTTAATGGTTAAAGTTACATAGATCATCATCATGTATGACGGAAATATTCCACATAAAATTGTCTAAAAAATATCCCGCAACAGCATATGTCTATCTTTTATGGTTGACTCACAATAACACGTGTAATTATATAAATAAAGTCATTGTTTATAGCACAAGCCTGAGAACAAAAACTATAGTTTACACTACAGTTCTACACCGAAGCGAAGCGAGGGCGGGCCACTAGTACTAGTATAAGTGGTTTGGAATCATGGCTTGTAAGCCATTTATTTTAAGTGATAAGTTATTAATATTAAAATACATTAAAATAAAACAAACTTAAAAACTATAAAGCTTAACCTACTAACCTACATAAATAAATAATTTACAAAATAAAAAATATATCACCACCAGCGCCGCCATCAGGAATGGTGCCCAATAGGCTGGCAGCATTGCCGCGTTGGATGGCAAGGCTGATCCGTTGACCAAGATAGCTGCCAGCCTTTTGATCACCAGTCACTTCGGTGAGCCTCTTTGACAATTCCTTAAAAAGGGAAACGGCACAAATATGTAGCTCTCATTGAGAGCTGAATATTTGCGCCGCTTGGAGCACTCGGCAGAGGCTGCCGCAGCACCTGCAGCTAGGGAGGTACTACCTGTATGGCACGGAGCAAGCGTATCCACGCAGGTTGCGTCCCATACAAGAGAACGACCCTGCTTCCAAGGAATGAGCGTCATCCCAGTATAAGTTATTTACGGGATTGTTACCATGTACCGTGATCACGATCCGACACGACGACTTGCCTTGTCGCGATCCGATACTGTGAGTGTTGTTTGTCGAGAACAGTTTCGAGTGAATAGTGAGAATGTGAACAGTGGTACGGGTATCGGACGCAATAAAAGACTTCGTCGGAGGGTAGACCGATATGTCTGCCAATAACAGCCTACCCGCAATTACTTCAGTTACTCCGTGATCATGGCGCTTGCAATAGTGCCGAAATATTGGAGACTTGCTAAAAACATAGGTACATGATAACAATCCCGTAAATAACAAACTATAATATAAAGTTACTTTCTGCTTTTATCTATTCTATATTTATCACCACGCACGAGATAACTGTGGAACACATTGTTACAAACTCAACACCAGCAGTGTGAACTTTGTAATAATATTATTTAGTTTTCAAAGTCGTCGATGGATGGCGTTACTGTTGTGTTCGGTTCTTTTAGCAATCCTATCTTATTTCAGTAATAATGAGAAATGTTATCGCCATTGTCTAATTATCCGCGTTTTCGCAAAACTCTAGGATTTCCGCGAAAGTTTGATTTATCAAATCATCCTATGACATAAAAAGCATGATTTCCATAGGATCCCGGCGCAAATATCAACAGTTAATTTACCTATTTAAAATAGTACACTCACTCCTCGACTCACCGTTTCTTACCATAATCATAATCATAATCAAAATCATTTATTCAGTTTAGGCTGTTACAAGCACATATGAATGTCTAGAAGCTACGCCATCGGTTCGTAAATCTACGGCGGGAGACCTTGTACTGAGAAGAACCGGCAAGAAACTCAGCAAGGGCTGCTTTTTTTTTTTTTTCTCAACCGCAACGCTAAGTTTTAATATTAAATTTAGATCGCGTAATACCACCCATAGGGTATTTGCTTTGCAAATTCATAAAAACAATACGTCCTTTTATTATAATCCAATCACAAATATGTGTCGTCAATACGATAAACTGCATAGGGATCATTCTTGAATTTCGGAAAGAAATCCAAAGATCAATACTTCATTCATTTGTACTTTTATTTAAGTGCTTTTTTGTTGTTTGTTTGTTGAAATTCGATTTTAAATATTCTTCTTTTCTGTAAACTTCAGCCCATACAATTTTATAATGTTATGCCCACATATTTAGAATAGGGTATTTGACAAGTTTTAGAAAACATTCTCACGTTATTTACTAATGTTTATGGAGTCCGTTCGGAGTGGATATTAATCATTCTGTTATGTATTTCAGTAAAAATAACGAAATCAAAAACTCCATTTTCAATTTGCCGCGAAAACGTTTCTCTGGACAATATGGCGTCTTACTAGTGTGTAACGTCACACGGCTGTTATTAAAACGTCAAACGATACAACGTAATGTCACTTTAACCGGAAGTTTACTTGCGTGTGACGTCATTTTAGGCTCCGCCAATCCCAAGCGTTTTGGGTCACGTGACAATAGATAAGAAAACTATTATCTTTTTCGTGGGTTTTTAGTAAAATTATGAATATTTTTTTTTTGTAAAAATATTAAAAACCCTGCTTAATATTCATTCTAAGCACAGATGCTAACAATTAGCACATTATGTTTAATACTGTCAAATACCCTATTACAGTTTGGTTTTATATTATTGTATATTTTGCTTTGTTTTTTAATATTTAATTGTAACTTGTTTTGTGAGCTAATAAAAAAATTCCACAATATAAACATTGTAATCTTTTTTGTTATGATGCCAGTATACCGGCTTAAGGATTCTCTGTTTGTTGTTCCGAGTTAACGAAGTCCTGGTTCCTTAGTTGGGTAGATGAATGACATAGCCGTAGGCCCGCGGCTGTTCGCAAACTTCACCAGTCCACAAACTCCAAATTGCTTTCATGACGACTTGTCTGCGGCAACAGCCAGGGTATGTCTGACACAATTCCTGTAATCGATTTAAGTAAAATTTTTATTATTATAACTTTGCAAACGAGATTTGTGCGTTTCTATCTAATATATTTCTTTTATATAACGTAAATAGAACTGCTGAATAAACTTGGTTCTTATTTACAAATTGTCTTGGAACCCACAACAGAACAAACATATTATTATGTTAATGCGAATTATTCCATTTATTTATAGAAAATTTACTCTTAAACTTGTTCTGTTTTCATGTGTTATTTTTATAGATAGCACGTTGTAAAAATAGCCTGCCCTTTTATTGTTCTAGATAAATAGTTATTATTAGAAAAAATGAGAGTCGTCACAGGACGCCTGGCAGATGTGAAACATCGACATTATTTCGTAAAAGTTATATGCAGTAAAAACCGATTGCCACGAGCACTAAATATGGCATAATGATAAAATAAAATATTAGGTACGATCTTTGCTGGACATAGGCCTCTTCAAATGCACGCCACTCAGATCGATCTTGGGCTACTCGCATCCAGCTCCTGCCAGCTACCTTGCGCAAATCGTCACTCCATCGTGCTGAGGACGTCCTACACTACGTTTTCCTAGACGCGGTCTCCACTCCAGAACTCGTCTACTCCAACGATTATCGGTTCTTCGACAAATATGGCCAGCCCACTGCCACTTCAACTTGCTAATCCGGTGGGCTATGTCGATAACTCTGGTTCTCTGTCGGATTACCTCATTTCTGGTGCGATCCTTCAGAGAAACGCCGAGCATAGCCCTTTCCATAGCGCGCTGAGCGACTTTGAACCTGTGGACTAGCCGTACCGTCAGGGCCCACGTCTCGGCTCCGTATGTCTTCGTTTGTTATATCCAACAACCTAATAGAACGGAAATCTGGTTGGTTTCGCAAAAGGAGTTTGCTCAAATTAGGCCCAAATGCACAAACAATATTTATACGAATCATTTTTAATGGCTATGGGTGTAGTAACATTCAGCCAAAGACTGATCGAAATTGTTTACATAAAATCAAATCTATTTTGTAAAGATTGATAAAAAATATTTTTTTTTTTCAATTACACTGTGATATTAATATCCTCAACTATGTTATCATTTTCACTACATGCCAATGTGCTAAGACAATTATTATAGATGGTAGGCAACATCATAAAGTCTATTGCCATACATTTTTCGCCAAACACCTCCATAAACACATTATATGGTGTGATATATTAAAAATCTAAAATATGGTTATAATATAAACATAACAAAAATAATGAAGCTACTGAAGATATTATGGCTGTATAACCTAAATCTCTTAGCTTTCTTTGGTTAACGAGAGTTTAAAAATTCTCTCGAATCTGTGGCTCATTTACAATCATCACATCATCACGGAAATGCATAGATGATACCTGATTTTAAAAGTTACTCTTGTGCATTAACATTAAAAACAGGCAACATCTGTTAATCTACATGCTCTATATACCTAATACATAATTTAGGTATTTGGCTTCATTTCCCTAGTTTACTATATAACTTATTTGTTTTTTATTATTTTAATACCTATGTACCTTTTTGCAAACATAACCTCAAAATCGTTCAGTGTATATGGTTTACAGCATTTCTCAGCCGTCAATAATATTCGTTTATACAGTAATTTATATATAATTTCGAATCTAGGAAACAATTTTTCATGATTATTGGTCTTTAGGCCAAACATGTATGGAAGCTGAGCTATCTCCTTTGTATTGAAATCTCAACACTTTTAACTTTTTTATGTAATGCACCCGTGTGAAGCCGGTTGAGCCTAATAAAAACCTAATATAAAAAAAGATGCAGGCAGGGAAAAAGAATAACAGAATGCGTTGAGAATAATTCAATGAAGTTAAAAATAAAAACCTATAAAGATAGTGAAGGATGTCTGGTAGTCCAGTGGAATATTACGTTCAATAAAAGCCAGCGGTCAACTTGACTTTGGCTGGAACACAAATATACATTCCCCTCATACATGTACAATGAATGTTACCATATAGAGATCTCTTAGTAACAATGTTCGCATGAATTGGCAACATACTCATACTCAGATAGGCCGATAGCTATCTCTGATCGGCCGATAGGTCCAACAATAGAATTAGCTTAACAATCACTTATTTGTGCTTTGAATTTTGATTTGCGACTGTGAACATTTACGTATGATGTCGATTCGTTTATTGATTCTAGTTTTTGAATTGAATGTTCTTATAATCCATTTGTGAACGAATGGCAGTGTAAGTACTTACCTTTTGGTTGGCATAGATAGATTGACAATATCACCACCAATCGATAATATCCATGTATTGAAGCGATCCCAATCCTTTTTAGGATTTGGGAATACATGAAGATGTGTACCTAAAAAAAGTTTGGTTAGGTTAGGTTAGTAGGCACAAAATAATTAAATTTATACGAAGTAAACAGATAGGCAGACTTTTAGAGATTGCAATGAACTTAGGAATCATTTTGATTTGTGAAAGATGGCAATTTTTCCTAAAACTACTGCAAGAATAGCTTTATCGGTAAAACTGAACTTTATTAAAGTATTTTAGTAATGTCATCAATGTAGCATAATCGGTATTCAATCAGCGTTTACATCAATGTTCAATCAATAAAGTGGCGCAATGTTTATCAACAATCATATTTGAGGTTATTTTGGTACGTGTTTTATAAGTTCGTCTATAACCTCAATAAATACCTAATCCAATTGATGAATTTACTGATATTAATCTATTGGGCAGTATTTCAATAGATTTTTTTCAGTGATGGATACACAATTTGCCAAATCACTCAGTGTAACGCTGCACAAATGACATTTACTACTAGATTTTTAAAATAACGAAATATATAATAATAGTGCTCAGATTAAACATTTATTATTATATATATATGTATATATATTATAACTGTGAGTTTTTTTACCTTCTGCGGTCACACATCCAGGAACACAACACTTCTTGCTAGAAGACATTGTCACAAATTGACGAGTCCTGTCTCACAACTATAACACTATACAGCAAAGAGACTCTATCTCTTGGCATTCTTAATATCGTCTACTATGCTTTCAGTTAATAACTTCCTCAAGAAAATAATAATAATAATGAATATAAAGAAAATATGACTAGAAAAAATTCCACGCGGACCAGGCAGCAGACGGGACTCGAACCCGCACCCTTCGCAATCCGGGCATATGCACTGACCAATTAAGAATGGCTAGAAGATTTCGACGCGGTCCTTGAATGCCTAAGTTCTAAGTTAGCATAATTAATCAGTGCAATCGCCCGGATTGCGAAGGGTGCGGGTTCGAGTCCCGTCTGCTGCCTGGTCCGCGTGGAATTTTTTCTAGTTATATTTTCTTTAGATTTAAACATCAAGCAGTAACATGCTTTAAAATAATAAAAATTATAACTATAGTGAATATTTCCAACACTCACACCAATTAGCCTAGCCCCAAAGTAAGCAGTGTAGGCTTGTGTTATGGGATGCTAGGGTAACGGATAGAATACATATACTGTACATATATAAGTATATTTATATAGAAATGCATATTACACATCCATGACTGGAGTACAGATGCTTGTTTTCATCAGACAAACATCTGCCACTACCGAGATTCAAACCCGAGACCTCTCGAGTAGGCGACACCTGACGACCTCCGTGGCCGAGTGGTTTGTACGGAAAGGAAAGGATTTTGATCAATTCTACTCCCAAGGGGATAAAATAGGGAATGAAAGTTTGTATGAAACTTTTTCAATTTTAAACCGATCGGGCTGAGACTTTGCATGCAGGTATAAGAAGAATCATAGATGAATGTCATTGTGTATAATACAAGCCTGAGAACAAAAACTGTAGTCTACACGTCAGCTCTACACCGAAGCGAAGCGAGATGCTATATGACTATAGCATCAAAGTTCTTAAATGAGAAAAACAAAACATATTTAATACATTCCATATCTTTTGAATTCAAATTGTTGACAAGGATAAGATGTGATAGACTCGTTTAAGTATAAGATTGCAAGTAGCTCTCTTTTTACTGTTTCGTAATAAATTTTAAAATACTTGAATGATCGATAAAGAAAAATACGGTCAGATTTAATACAGTGATTGTTACTTATAATACATTGATTAAAACAAATAAACTTTACCATTGCCCTGTTCTAAGCAGTTTTGTCTTAGCCTTCGTTTAACTTCGGCATTACTCGCTGTTTGAAGTAAGTACTTATCTACTTAAGTTCGAACTTAAAACTTTCCTATGAGTATTACGACATGGTCCTCTTGACCTTTACAGATCGCTATCGAACGGAGAGCGCGGTGCGTACGCGCAGACCGCCGAACAATGGTGTACCTCCGAATAAATGAACGCCATTGTTATTTCATAATGGGTTCTGAATACTGTTTTTTGTATACATATATGTATACATGTTATATGTGTGCCTTAGTTGCTATGCTTATTGTTATGGTGTAAATTTGCGATACCTCAGGCCCAAATTATAACGTGGCTGCGTGAAAGAACTCAAAAACTACACTTGACTGAGTGGAAAACAGGTGAAGGATGACGGCAAACAAGAGACTTGCCCGCACCCTTAACAGACTTAATAGGGACAAACTCCGCATTATTATAGGAACCCTAACTGGTCATTGTCCCCTAAACAAACACCTATACACAATAGGGGTAACAGACAGCCCCCTATGCAGAGGATGTATGGAAGCAGAGGAAACGCCACAGCATGTCATTATGGAATGCAGGAGTGTGGCCGACCAACGGGCACGACTTCTCCAATCACCCGCATCGCTTCCGGAAGCTTGCAGCAGTCTGCCAAGACTGCTTTCCTTCTGGACTAACCTAGGCTAGCTGGAGTAAACGGGAATGTTTCAAGACACGCACAATGGTCCAATGATTAGGACTAAGTGCGGAAACCGCCCTGAAAAACTAACTAACTAACTAACGTACATTCGATTAGATAAGAGACTAGAAGGGTTGTATCATAGACGGTTGGTGCG